ATTATTAAATTTAAATTAGGAGCCATACTGGGGGACAATTTGGGACTTCATTCTATACTTGGATTTGTAGAAAGTTTTAATGCTAAGTATCCATGCCGGATTTGCAGAGCTAACAAAATTCTAGTTAAACAAATGTGTTTAGAAGATACGTCCTTGCTACGAAATAATGAAAATTACAAAATTGATGTAAATTGCAAGAATCCGAGTGAAACAGGTGTTAAGTGTGAAGCTATTTGGTATGCGCTAGACAATTTTGATCTCTTTACACAGGTGGCTGTTGATGTGATGCACGACATTTTAGAAGGTGTTGCTAATTACACAATGACTTTAGTTATAAATTCGTTGTTGAAGAAAAAATTCTTTACTATACAAGAATTAAATGATAGGGCTGACGCTTTCAATTATGGTCCTGATTCAAATAACAAGCCACCATTATTGTCTTTAGAAAAAGCTTGTAAAATTAAATGGAGAATGTCATCAATCGAAACTTTAAATTACATTCGATACTTTGCTTGTTTGATTTCTCACAAGATACCCGATGATGATGAGCATTGGCGTTTATATATTCTATTAAGGCGACTGCTGGATTTTTCAATGACTGACTCTGTACATACGGACATATGTGAACGCTTAAAATGGACGGTGAAGGAATTTAATAACTTATATTTACAACTTCATTCAACTCCTCTTACACCTAAATTTCATTATTTGATTCACTATCCAGGGATAATGAAAAAATTAGGTCCTTTGTGTAACTTGTGGTCCATGAGGTACGAATCAAAGCACAGAGTGTCAAAAGTTGCAGCTAGAAGTTCAGCTAATAGAATAAATATTTGTAAAACTATTGCAATTAAAAATCAATTACAATTGAACCACCTTTTTGTGAAAAATAAACTTCCTCCTAATTTTCAGCATTCTCGTAAAATGAAGAAAGTAAACTCACAGGATTTAACATTACTTTTAAAACAATTTCATCTATCACCCTTTACGAAATTACATAGCGTATCGTTCGTTATTGTTAATGGCATTATGCTAAGGTGTAACAACATTTTGGTTTTACATTTCGACCCAGAATATGGGGACCCTGTTTTTTTCGAAATTTTGAAAATTTTTATTTGTTTATGTGATGAAAAAGTATTCTTTCAAGGACACTTATTTGAAACTATTACATTTGATCCACATGTTTATGCATATCTGGTTGAAAAAACAGATCGTCAGCATTTTGTATCCTATGACTCACTTATGTTTAAACATCCTAATACTATCTCTATTTTACCACCTGATGGATATTATTACATTACAGTGCGGAATTCCTTCGATTAAATCCACATTTATTTTCTTTTTCTTAAGAAACCAATTACCAATGCCGCATCATCGAGTATACTTGTATTTAATCAAAATGTACTTGACCAACATGCAGGTTTAATTACAAGTATAATTTCTCGCCCATGTTTGTAATTTTATAAGGTTGTACAACCTTATGAAATTACATAACTAAGACTTATAAATATATAAACAGTATTTGAATAGGTATAATTTACAATATTTATAAACTTATACTTCAACTCACCTTTTTCAATCAGCACAGCAAAGCTCCTTTTATT